CTAGTCTTTTGCTGTGTGATTTTTACAAATAATGTTTTGCTCTTCGGCACTAATATCAACAGCTGATGGCTTTAACCCACTGCGTTGATTTCGATGCGAAGGTAGCACTTGAAGGATAGTTATGGGCCGCGCCAAAGCATTTTCGGCTGGATCCCCAACAATTCCTGAACTAGATGGAATTGAACCATAGGCTGGATGCGCATATCCACTTCTGAAAAATGCTATAGGTAGTTCATGATCCCTTTCATCTTATACGGACTTCGTCGCTCCTTCCTATTCATTTGGACATACAGTCCTCATCATTGCGGACCGGTGGGGCGTGTCAGCCAGTATGAGTGTGCACACTGTTGAAGCCGTTCTCAGCCTTTTTGTTGAAACGCGTATGCGACAAAAAGTGGTAGAAAACGAGTAATACGAAGGATATAATACAGTAATGTCACTTGCCCGCTTCAACAACTGGTGCAGAACGACTTTGGCACCGCGCCAAACGCAGCCGCACTGAACCGCCCCGACAGTACGTAATGATGAGGACTGTACCTAGTGTAAAGTATGCAGATTTCCACAACTGCTTCCCATTCGCTGAAATGTTGTCAAACAAAACTCGCTTCTCAAAAAACAAAACTCCATTGGTCCAACCTGACAATAAAATGTAAATTACAAACTAATGGGCAACTGTTTTCAAAGGGATGTGTGCCGTAGAACTTGAATTTTCAGTTGCATCATCTATGTTTTCTGACCCATCCTACCGATTTGATGCGAAAACTGGGTACTTGATCACGAATCCGCGCGAACTAATCCATCAGTATGCCACTACGACTCCCGTGGCTGTGATGGAGGACAATGACAACACTCCTGGAACAATCACTGTTTCGAAGCACAGCATGTCCAGAAGAGCGGAAGAAACCACGGAGTGAGTGCTAGAGAGCTGACTCTTTATAATGGCTTCTGTGAAAGTCTTTAACGGCTGTTCAATCTGAAGAAAGATGTATTTCAGAGAACGGTTTTCACCGTACGTGCCCTACAAGAGCGTGAATACTGTTCAGTCGCCGATTAAGTTTACACAACAGTTGAGAGATGAAAGTTGGTTATGTGATCGTATCGTTCATACAATTTTGCGAAATCTTTGTTGAGTTTAATTACCGTGCAGCGATGACTCGCACTCAGCGTGAGGCAAACACTCATGTGGTTCCACTCAACCGTCACTCCTCTCACGCAGAAGAAAGGATCAAAGAAATTCCGATGAAAACACATGGAGCGAGGTTCGTTTTTTTTCCTAAAAACATTGATTGTCGTTGCACTTCCAATCTCCATCTTCAGTGGGTGATTGAATCTCTGTTCTGCAAAGCAATCAACAAATTATGCGCAAGTTTCCCAAGCATATGCAAATTTGCAGTGAAAGTTCACAACTTTCAAAGAGATCTCTTTTTATGTTATTACAGTTTTATCCTAGCAATGAGCTTACTTGAGCTTGAGCTAGGGGGGGGCTTCTAGCATAGCACGAGCCGATCCTCGTTTTTGGTGGCTCAAGTTAAGTTCGAGAACAGATATAGACCACGCTTGCACCTGTTGCTGGAAATCGTTCTTATCTTCACTCGCGAGCACCACTTTATCTGCATAGAGAAGCGTTGACGGAGCCGAATTTCGTGATTTAGTGAGTTCGTGAGATAACATCCATGACGACCACAAGCAGAAGTGGAGAGAGCGAGAACTTTAAACTCTCGACTTACAACTGGACCATCTTGTTTCCTGCACCGCATAAAAATCTATTCGTCTGCGCTCTAGTGCCTCTGCCAAC